GCAATGGTTTTGCGGCTCCCAGTCTTTTTTTCCCTCTCGGAAACGGGTCCAAGTGGCTCTTTATGTCTTAAAGGTTGCAGACCCCTGCCCTAGCTTAATGACTTCTCCCAGAGCTAATTGGAGCCAGGAGTGAGCCAACCTTGACTCCAATCAGTGTGATGATATTGGACGTGTTGCTGACAGCTGTCCTGCCCTTAAAAAAACACACACCTGTTTTGGGTTTACTGGTTTCAAGAAGCACTGTCTGATGTGAACCATGCCTCGCAGAAAAGAGCTCTCAGAAGACCTATGATCAAGAATTGTTGATTGTTGGTCAACCAGTTATTAAGTCCAAAGGTTCACATACTTTTTCCTCCCTGCACTGTGAATGTTTACAACTGTCTTGCAACTGTAAATTAACATTGACAGCCACTGCAGATCGCAACTGCAGTGCATTTGGAATGTGGTGCAGGAAACGCACACAGAACACAGGTTTCCCGCACCATGTTCTGTTGTGAACAGGGCCTAAGAATACATACTTTAATAGAAATCTTTTTTAAGTGAAGGAAATATGATCCAAATTTATTTCCAGTTTAATATTCAGTAGCATGTTTTACCTGGAGTTCATCTTTACACCTGGACATAAACTGCTGATCATCCAGTTTTGCAAGCATATAGATACCAATCCAAATCCCAATCAGAAGATCCCTGCCCTACCAAGAAATGGGTAAAACCATGGCTTTATAAACATTTTCTTTAACTCATTGAAAGTCAGGAAATTGATGCTGATTACCACTGTATCATGAATGTGTCAGTCAATAAGACATTTCTCATGATGAAAAATAAATGTTAAACTCTTCCCGTCTGCCCTATAGCAGAAATATAGCTACAGGGCGGCACAAATGCGCAAAATCACGTATATATACGTGAATTTGCATCTACTGGGGCATGCGCGTGCCTCGTGCCATTCGTGGCCGTGGCTGTCAACCACCGAGTCCCGGCCGGTGATTACTCGCCGGCGCCCCCTGATTGCCGAGGATCTCCAACGGGGTGGGGGGGAGCTGTATGTAAACAAAATAGTTCTCCCTGACAGCTAGTGCACACTGCTTTGTGCACAGCCATGCAAAGCAGTGTGCTTACAGTGAAGCACACAGACACAGGCCCATAGTAAAACACACACAGTTAACCCTTTGATCGCCCCAGATGTTAACCCCTTTCTGCCCAGTGCCATTAGTGCAGTGTCAGTGCTTTTATTAGTACTGATCACTGTATTGGTGTCATTGGAGATGTCACTGACGCCAAGTCAGTTCCCCCCAGTGTCAGAATGCCCGTCACAGTCCTGCTATAAGTCGCTGATCGCCGCCATTACTAGCAAAAATAAAAAAAAATCCCTGTATATACTGTATATCGCCATTTGTAAACGCTATAACTTTCACACAAACTGTTTAATTTACACGTGTTGGGATTTTTTTAGCAGACATGTAGCAGAATACATTTTGGCCTAAATTTATGACAAAATTAGATTTTTTAAAATGTTTGTACTGGACATGTTTAATAGCAAAAAGTCAAAAATATTGTTTTTTTTCTCAAACTTGTCTCTCTTTTTTTTTTTTTTATAGTGCACAAAATAGAAAACACACAGGCGATCAAATAGTACCGAAAGAAAGCTCAATTCGTAGGGAAAAAAGGACATAAATTTAAATTGGGTGCAGCGTTGCATGACTGCGCAATTGTCAGTAACGCAGCTCCGTAATGCAAAAAATGGCCTGGTCAGGAAGGGGGGTAAATCCTCAGGAGGGTAAGTGGTTAATAAACGATTAATGTAAACAATCACTGATCATTACTGTTGTTCAAACTGAAGAAACACCTGTCTGTGTAAGGCCAGTAGGAAACTGAGCCCAGGATCAGTTGACAGAGATTATCTTATTCAAGATATGCAGAGTGGAAACCTGGGAACAAGAAAGACAAGATCAAGAACTGGTTCTGCAACCAAGATTATTTCTGGTTTGTACTTTACTCCTCTAGCACTTTTCTTATTTCCCTTTATTTACAAATCACGGTGTGGGCTGCATACATTTTCAAATTACACACCATGCAGTCTGATGACTATTATTTGTATGCAGAGAAAACTGAATTTATTTTATACTGTTTGTAAAAGATGTATATTTTTTAGATTTCATCCACAAGGTTGTATTCTACTGTATCATTATACTGTCACATTTTTGGCATATGGGAGAGAGACAGAAAGCAGATTAGGACAGCAACGTATACTTATGAATTAGGCAGATTCTCATATATGGGTGGAGGTGATGCACAGATAAATGCACATGAACGCATGGGCCTCTGTGTGTTATGTCGCAATGCCACACCATTATGAAGACAACCTCAATGCACATAGCAACGTAATACACACTTTAAATCTATTATAACCTGAATGCTTGTCCGATTGGCAGAGAGAAGAAGCATTAAAGGAGAAGTACAGCCAAAGCTCTTTTGTGTGTACTTCTGTGAATCACAGGAATGCAGTTCGTTCTGCACTTCTGTGACACGCTTTCAGCTGACGGTGAGCTGAAGCCCATTGTCAGCTGACGTCATTCTGACAGTCCAGGCTGGGGAAAGATCCCGACTTTAAAGCAGGGATTCACCCCACGGTCTGGAGTGGCACCTGGGGAAGGGGGGGGGGGTGGGAGAGCAGACAGCGATGACTGACAGTCGCCGCTCTCTGCATATAGTGGCGGTGAGAACTCAGTGATCAGCAGGCATGTGATCACTGAGTTCTCACACTTGAAGCTGGTGGGGCACAGATGCAGCATCAGACCGATTCTACATCCACATAGGTAAGTATAAATTGGGGGGGGGAATAAAAAGCCCTACTTTAATGATTTTAGAGATATAGATCTGACTGAGGGGGTGTTGTCAGACCCTGGCAGAGACCACTACTTCCACACAAACCGTCCTTCTCTTCAGCATGCTGGCAAAGCACAGGCTTTTTTACTCAGGATGTGACTGCTTTTAAAAATGAGAATGAACTTTAAGACAGCAACTTTTCATTTGAATGCACCAGGAATACCGTATTTTAAGCTCCATAAGATGCACCTTTCTCCCCCCAAAAAATGGGGAAATACAGTTGCAAGAAAAAAAGTATGTGAACCCCTTGGGATTACGTGGAGTTTTGCATGAATTGGGCATAAAATGTGCTCTGAACGTCATCTAAGTCACAACAATAGAAGAACACAGTCTGCTGAACATAATACTACACAAACATTAGATGTTGCCATGGTTTAATTGCACATAACATGTAAACATTCACAGTGCAGGGAGGAAAAAGTATGTGAGGCCCTAGCTTAATGACTTCTCCCAGAGCTAATTGGAGCCAGGAGTGAGCCAACCTTGACTCCAATCAGTGTGATGATATTGGATGTGTTGCTGACAGCTGTCCTGCCCTTAAAAAAACACACACCTGTTTTGGGTTTACTGGTTTCAAGAAGCACTGTCTGATGTGAACCATGCCTCGCAGAAAAGAGCTCTCAGAAGACCTACGATCAAGAATTGTTGACTTGCATGAAGCTGGAAAGGGTTACAGAAGTATCTCCAAAAGCCTTGATGTTCATGTGTCCAAGGTAAGACAGACTGTCTACAAATGGAGAAAGTTTAGCACTGTTGCTACTCTCCCTAGGCATGGTCGTCCTGTAAAAATGACTGCAAGAGCACAGCGCAGAATGCTGCATGAGGTAAAGAAGAATCCCAGAGTGTCAGCTAAAGACCTACAGAAATCTCTGGCACATGCTATCATTTTTGTTGACACATCTACAATAAGGAAAACATTAAACAAGAATGGAGTACATGGGAGGACACCACGGAGGAAGCCATTGCTGTCCAAAAAGAATATTGCAGCACATTTGAAGTTTGCAAAAGAGCACCTGGATGTTCCACAGCACTACTGGCAAAATATACTGTGGACAGATGAAACCAAGATTGAGTTGTTTGGGAAGAACACACAACACTATGTGTGGAGAAAAAAAGGCACAGCACTCCAACATCAAAACCTCATCCCCACTGTAAAACATGGAGGAGGGAGCATCATGGTTTGGGGCTGCTTTGCTGCCTCAGGGCCTGGACGGATTGTTGTCATTGATGGGAAAATGAATTCCAGAGTTTATCAAGACATTTTGCAGGAAAACGTATGACCAACTGAAGCTCCGCAGAGGATGGGTGATGCAACAGGACAATGACCCAAAGCATACAAGTAATTCAACAAAACAATGGCTGCAACAGCACAGAATACACCTTCTGGAGTGGCCCAGTCAGAGTCCTAACCTCAACCCGATTGAAATGCTATGACATGACCTTAAGGGAGCGATTCACACCAGACATCCCAAGAATATTGCTACACTGACACAGTTTTGTGAGAAGAGGAGTGGTCCAAAATTACTCCAGATCGTTGTGCAGGTCTGATCTGCAACTACAGGAAACGTTTGGTTGAGGTTATTGCTGCCAAAGGAGGGTCAACCAGTTATTAAGTCCAAAGGTTCACATACTTTTTCCTCCCTGCACTGTGAATGTTTACATGTTATGTGCAATTAAACCATGGCAACATCTAATGTTTGTGTAGTATTATGTTTAGCAGACTGTGTTCTTCTATTGTTGTGACTTAGATGACGTTCAGAGCACATTTTATGCCCAATTCATGCAAAACTCCACGTAATCCCAAGGGGTTCACATACGTTTTCTTGCAACTGTATGTCTGTGTGTCTATGAAGCGGCTGGCCCGGTATTCCCCCCATCATCGCTGCCGCCATGTTAGAAAACCGGGCCGGCCGCTGGGCTCTACTGTGCAGAAGAACCCACTCCTTAGTCCTACCTGTTCCTCAGTCCAGTTATGTCCTGCTTTCACCAGCCGTGACAGCTTGCGGCTGTGCTTTTTGAATGGCCCCGTAGTCTTCTGGGACCTGTCACGTGTCCCACAAGACTACGGGGAGGACAACTCCACAGAAGTGGGAGCGGGTACCTGTAAAATTTGACCTATATTATGTCCGCAGTCTCTGGTCATCTCCTGTACTATGTCCGCAGTCTCTGATCATCTCCTGCACTATGTCCGCAGTCTCTGGTCATCTCCTGTACTATTGTCCGCAGTCTCTGGTCATCTCCTGTACTATGTCTGCAGTCTCTGGTTATCTCCTGCAGTACGTCTGCAGTCTCTGGTCATCTCCTGTACTATGTCCGCAGTCTCTGGTTATCTCCTGTAGTATGTCTGCAGTCTCTGGTTATTTCTTGTAGTACGTCTGCAGTCTCTGGTCATCTCCTGTAGTACGTTCACAGTCTCTGGTCATCTCCTGTAGTATGTCCGCAGTCTCTGGTCATCTCCTGTACTATGTCCGCAGTCTCTGATCATCTTCTGTACTATGTCCGCAGTCTCTCTGATCATCTCCTGCACTATGTCCGCAGTCTCTGGTCATCTCCTGTACTATGTCCGCAGTCTCTGGTCATCTCCTGTACTATGTCCGCAGTCTCTGGTTATCTCCTGCAGTACGTCTGCAGTCTCTGGTCATCTCCTGTACTATGTCCGCAGTCTCTGGTTATCTCCTGTAGTATGTCTGCAGTCTCTGGTTATTTCTTGTAGTACGGCTGCAGTCTCTGGTCATCTCCTGTAGTACGTTCACAGTCTCTGGTCATCTCCTGTAGTATGTCCGCAGTCTCTGGTCATCTCCTGTACTATGTCCGCAGTCTCTGATCATCTTCTGTACTATGTCCGCAGTCTCTGATCATCTCCTGCACTATGTCCGCAGTCTCTGGTCATCTCCTGTACTATGTCCACAGTCTCTGGTTATCTCCTGTAGTATGTCTGCAGTCTCTGGTCATATACTGCAGTACGTCCGCAGTCTCTAGTCATCTCCTGTACTATGTCTGCAGTCTCTGGTCATCTCCTGTACTATGTCCGCAGCCTCTAGTCATCTCCTGTAGTATGTCTGCAGCCTCTGGTCATCTCCTGTAGTATGTCCGCAGTTTCTGGTCATCTCCTGTACTATGTCTTCAGTCTCTGGTCATTTCCTGTACTATGTCTGCAGTCCATTGGTTTAGAATATTTTTTTTCTTGTTTTCCTCCTCTAAAATCTAGGTGGGTCTTAAGGTCAGGTGCGTCTTATGAAGCGAAAAATATGGTATATTTACCAGGTTAAAACTGAAAGTTCAGTTAGGCTTTAAAGTGGAACTTTAGTCAGAAAATTAAATAATGCTAGATCACTTTTTTTGCAGATATAGCTATGTAAAACATTACAAAATAAGTGCATATACTGACTGACTGCTGGTTCTGCGATCCCCCAGCCTTACTACGCCCATCACCCACATCTGATGCCCACCTCTCACAACCTTCTCCACACCCCATTTTCCACCACCCAGAAAACACCTCCGCTGCTGACGACCACCCTTCATCTCCGCAAACCAAACCTCACCCCTCTAACCAGACTTTCACAAACTTATACTCGCAGCTTGATTACCCCCGGCTACAACCTATCGACCTGAACTCTACCCATCCTGCTCCTAGGCACAAGAACTCTAGCTACCTGACGACACAGCGACGAGATACGCCACTGCACGCTAGACTATCTGCAACCAAGCTTCCCACCACACCTGTCCGCCACTCCGTTTATCTCTGAAATGCCTCCCCTACTCCTCCTCCTCATACTCCTCTCCTCCATTCCCAAAATTTCTTCTCTATATCCCTCTGCTTCTCCCAAACATCTGTTCATTGCGCCCTCACTGCTTCCTTCTCCCCTCTACAGCACCCACCACCTCCTCCTAATGCTCCACTCTCCCACTGACCCTGTTAAGGATCCGGGTATGACCAGAAATGTGTGGGAACACAGGCGGAATGGTCAGGCAGGCCGTTAGGTACTGTCAGGCACCGCCCGGCGGGATCTCTAGTACCCACACAACGGGATTCCCTAGGGTGCAGAGTCTAAGCCCCAGTCTGCCTTTTCACCAGAGCCCCTGATGGTGGGGATGGACTTGGCGCAGGACTGAGACCAGGTCGCAGCCCCTGAGTGCACCCAACTGTGGTAGAGGGGTCCGCCGAGGGTATGTACCGGGGGAAAGCCTGACATGAAGAGGCTGGCAGACCTGGTAACAGGGACAGATCCGTGCGGGATGGATAGATGGATTGTCTGGGTAGCGTCAGGCGTAGTCAGGCAGGCCAGGTCAGCAACGTGCGGGCAGCGAGGTACCGGAGGAGCAGGCAGAGAATAGTCAGGGTCACAAGTCGGGTTCAGTAACTCACGGGCAGCGCGGTACAGAGGATCAGGCAGAAGGATGGTCAGGCAAGCCAGGGATCAAGCAGGAGAAGTCAGCAGAGGTCAGGATCAGGCAGGTTCGGCAACAAATCAGATAGTCAGCAGAACAGGAACACAGGGTACAGGGGGCTCATGGGAAACTTACACCAAGGCACTGATCACAGGCCTGGTCCTGCTTAAATACACCTCCTGCAATCAGCTTCAGGTGATGGCCTGATTGCAGGAGTTAGATTCTGGCTGCTGAGAGCACCCGCTGGCCAGCCTTGGTACTGCAGCCCACAAGGCAGGTGAGTCCCACCACCATTGGCAAGTCCATTCCTGACAGTACCCCCCCCCCCCTCAAGGAGCGGCCTCAGGACGCTCCAAACAGTCTGTAATGGCCCAAATGTTCCACCGCCTGGGTCCGGCAACTGGCTGGGCATCCCACTGCCGGAATCAAGCGATTGGCTGGGTCTCCTGCTGATAGGCCTATCTTTTTGCAGGAGACCGCAGGAAGGCAGATTGCTGGACACAGGATTTCCAGAAGCAGGCTGGGCATCAGGAGCCGGTACGTCAGGCTGGGCAGCGGGCAGAGGCACGTCAGGCTGGGCTGCGGACAGAGGCATGTCAGGCTGGGCAGCGGGCAGAGGCACGTCAGGCTGGGCAGCGGGCAGAGGTACGACAGCGGGCACCGAGTCATCTGGCACGACAGCGGGCACTGAGCCATCTGGCAGAACAGCGGGCACTGGGTCACCAAGCTCGACAGTGGGCACCGAGTCATCTGGCACGACAGCGGGCACCGAGTCATCTGGCACGACAGCGGGCACCGAGTCACCGGGCAAGTCAGCGGGCACCGAGTCACCGGGCAAGTCAGTGGGCACCGAGTCATCTGGCACGACAGCGGACACCGAGTCACCAAGCTTGACAGCGGGCACCGAGTCACCAGGCAAGTCAGCGGGCACCGAGTCATTGGGCACGACAGCGGGCACCGAGTCATCGGGCACGACAGCGGGCACCGAGTCACCAAGCTCGACAGCGGGCACCAAGTCACCGGGCAAGTCAGCAGGCACCGAGTCACCGGGCAAGTCAGCGGGCACCGAGTCATCGGGCACGTCAGCAGGCACCGAGCCATCTAGCAGAACCGCGGGCACCGGGTCACCAAGCTCGACAGCGGGCACTGAGTCATCTGGCACGACAGCGGGCACCAAGTCATCTGGCACGACAGCGGGCACCAAGTCATCTGGCACGACAGTGGGCACCGAGCCATCTGGCAGAACAGCGGGCACCGGGTCACCAGGCTGAACAACGGAAGGCGGGTTCTCAGACGGCAGGCTGACCGATTTGGATACTGGCAGGATTGTACTGGTTGGAAAGAATTTTCGCCTTTTCCTGGTCTTAGTTACTGGAGCACTGTAAGTAAACGCAGGTCTGTAAACGGATAGAGCAGCTGAAGACAGAGAAGAGCTGGGGGATGGAACAGAGGAGGGAACAGTTGCTACAGAGGGCTTCTTTACAGGGTTAAAGGCCGGATAGGTGCAGCGAGTGGGAACAGGGTTCTGACATGTGGTAGATAGCAGGGTATACTGGGCTGGAACTGGAGGTGCTGTCGGGAATGCAGGAATAGAGCTTTGCAGAAATAGATTAGAAGCAGGAGTGGGTTGTTGCAAGCTGACTGAGGCTGGGGGTAACAAATCTGACCATATCTGTAATACAGGTTGAACGAAGCTCAACTTACACATAGCCTGTCTGACCAAAGAATGCACTGCGTTTATGCAATCCATAAGCACATGTGATGGACAAGCTGCATAATGCTCATGGAAGCAATCTGGATCATCCTCCAACAGCCATACCAGTGATTCCACTTGATCTGCACTAAATGGTGGAAAAAAGTCATCCCTGCTTTCAGGGGTACAGGACAGAGCCAACTCAGCACAAACCTGGATCAATGGTTGCACCTCAGAAAACTCCGTGCCCTGATCCACTAGTGAATGAGCAACTTGTATGCATTCCAGCAGCTGATCCCTGGTATACTCCTTCAGAGTCTGATAGGCATAATCTCTGTCATCTAGGACTAGCAGCGACAAATACACAACATCCTCAGGATGCATCCTTCACAACAATAAGCCAAGATGGCTTCCCTGTGCAGCCACTTCTGGTCAGGAATGGCCTTGGTGTCCTGTTAGGCACCGCCTGGCGGGATCTCTAGTACCCACAGAATGGGATTCCTCAGGGTGCGGAGTCTAAGCCTCAGTCTGCCTTTTCACCAGAGCCCCTGATGGTGGGGATGGACTGAGACCAGGTCGCGGCCCCTGAGTGCACCCAACTGTGGTAGAGGGGTCCGCCGAGGGTATGTACCAGGGGAAAGCCTCACGTGAAGAGGCTGGCAGACCTGGTAACAGGGACAGATCCGTGCGGGATGGATGGATGGATCGTCTGGGTAGCGTCAGGCGTAGTCAGGCAGGCCAGGTCAGCAACGTGCTAGCAGCGAGGTACCGGAGGAGCAGGCAGAGAATTGTCAGGGTCACAAGCCGGGTTCAGTAACTCACAGGCAGCGCGGTACAGAGGATCAGGCAGAAGGATGGTCAGGCAAGCCAGGGATCAAGCAGGAGAGGTCAGCAGAGGTCAGGATCAGGCAGGGTCGGCAACAAATCAGATAGTTAGCAGAACAGGAACACAGGATACACGGTACAGGACACTCATGGGAAACATACACCAAGGCACTGATCACAGGCCTGGTCCTGCTTAAATACACCTCCTGCAATCAGCTTCAGGTGATGGTCTGATTGCAGGAGTGAGATTCTGGCTGCTGAGAGCACCCGCTGGCCAGCCTTGGTACTGCAGCCCACAAGGCAGGTGACTCGCACCACCATTGGCAAGTCCATTCCTGACAGACCCGAACACCTCCACTGATAGACTTACACGCTCCTGCACATCCCGCTCCCATGCCACCTTTCTCACCCTTCTTCTTCTCCTAACCCGCCGGGGACATCTCCCCGAACCCTGGCCCTCCACCTCCTCGCCCACCCACAAGACACCCTCCCACTTCCACGTCCTGCCACAACCCCTTTGTTTCCCGCTCCCTCAACCTCCTAGCGATCACGGAAACCTGGATCCAAGCCACTGACTCCACCTCCCTGCAGTACTCTCCTATGGAGGTCTCATCTGAACCCACTCACCCAGACCCAACAGTCGAAAAGGTGGTGGGGTTGGTCTGCTCCTGTCACCACTGAGCACCTTCTGAGTTCTCCCAAACCCCCCCTCTCTATCCTTCTCCTCCTTTGAGGCCCACTGCATCTGACTTTTCTCTCCAACCCCCCTGAGGATTGCTGTGATCTACCGGCCTCCTGGACCCGTATCCCGCTTCCTTGATGACTTTTCCGCCTGGCTACCCTTCTTTCTCTCTTCCGAGCTACCCACCATCATCCTTGGAGACTTCAACATCCCTGTCAACATTAATAACCCGGCTACATCTCAATTCCTCCACTTAAAATCCTCTTTTGCACTCACTCAGTGCATACAATCCACCACCCACTCCGACGGGAACATCCTGGACCTCCTCTTCTCCCATCTCTGCGCCCCCCACAACCTCACAAACACCCCCTTCCCTCTCTCTGACCACAACCTCATCACCTTCTCTGTCTCCTCGTCCTCAAACGCCTACCCCCCCAAATGTCAAACTATTACCAGCCGGAACCTCCGCAACCTGAAACCCTGCCCCCTTCCATTCAGCAGCTGATCAACTTTACGACAGCATTCTTCCCCTGTCCTGCCCCGACTTGGCCACGACTGCCTATAACAACTCACTGTCATCAGCTCTAGACTCGCTAGCACCTTTAACCACACGAAGCATCAGACCCCGCCGCTCCAGCCCTGGCAGACTGATCATACCAAAACTCTCAAACAACGCAGTCGTGTGCTGGAGCGACTATGGCGCAAAACCAGGTCCCAAGTAGCGTTCACCCGCTACAAATCTGCCTTCCACACCTACACCTCTTCCTTCACGCTGCCAAACAAGCCTACTTTCTGACCCTCATCAATACCCTCTCCTCCAATCCTCGCCGGCTCTTCTCCACTTTCAACTCTCTACTCTCTCCGCCCCCACCTCCACCCAGTACCTCACTCCCCGCCCTCGAGATTGCCAATCACTTCAAAAATAAGATTGACACTATTCGCAGGGACATCGCTGCTGCTCAGACCTCCACCCCACCTACCTTCTTTCACACAGCAACCCCTCCAACACCCCTCCCCCTTGGCCTCACCACTGTTCAGACCTCCACCCCATCTAACATCCATCTAACCCCATCGAACATCCCTCACACAGTAGCCCCCTCAACACTCCACTCCTTCGACCCCACCACCACTGAGGAGGTCACCAAGGTCTTCTCTGAAGCCTGCCTCACCACCTCCCCCTCGACCCTGTCCCCTCTCAACTCCTACGATCTCCCTCCTCCTCCATCCTACGCTCTCTCACCCACATCTTTAATCTCTCCCTCTCTTCTGGCGCATTCCCCTCCCCTCTGAAGCATGCACACATCACTCCCATACTTAAAAAGCCCTCCCTGGACCCCACCGACCTGAACAACCTTAGACCCATCTCCCTGCTGCCATTTACATCCAAACTCCTTGAGCGCTTACTCTATACTCGCCTAAGCTCCCACCTCAACGACAACAACCTCCTCAACCCCCTACAGTCTGGCTTCTGTCCCCTACACTCCACCGAAACCGCCTTACTCAAACTCACAAACGACCTGCTAACTGCCAAAGCTAATGGCCACTACTCAGTGCTCCTACTCCTTGACCTCTCCGCGGCGTTCGACAAAGTCGACCACCCCCTCCTCCTTAAGAAACTACACTCCCTTGGCCTCAGAGACTCCGCTCTCTCCTGGCTTTCATCCTACCTATCACAACGCTCCTTCAGCGTTACCTATAACACTACTACCTCCCCCCCACTCCCCCTCTCTTTTGGGGTCCCTCAAGGCTCTGTCCTTGGGCCCCTTCTCTTCTCCATCTACACCTCCTCCCTTGGCCAACTGATACGCTCTCATGGCTTCAACTACCACCTCTATGCCGATGACATGCAAATCTATCTCTCGAGCCCCCTCACCTCACCCCTTCAGTCTCCGCCCGAATCACCAGCCTACTGAACGACATATCAGATTAGATGTCGCTCCACTTCCTTAAACTGAACCTCTCCAAAACTGAGCTCCTAGTCTTCCCCCCAGCCCGCGCCCACCCCCCCACTGACTTCTCCATCACGTCCAACCATGCCACCATCAATGGAAAAAATATATATAATGGCGCCTATGGAAAGAGGAAAAATTATATATAAACCACTTATTATGATATACCAGCTGCAAAAATCCACCATAAATAAATAAAGTGTAACAATTATTACAAAAAATATTTTGCGCTAGTGAATATAAAAATATATCCGTGAAACAAAAAAATATATAAATAATATTTAAATAAAAAAAGTTCAAATAAATAATCCACACTTAAAAATATATGTAACACAAAAAACGTGCACAAAAATATCTAAATGTGACAATACCACCACCAAAAAAAACGCTGACTAAACTCACCAGAGCTATAAAACAAAAACATGTATTGCTCTGGGAGCGATAATATTAATAGAGTGGTAAGTCATTTGTAGATGTATCTTCAAGAAATGATATTCTGCAGAACCCAGATCCACATAGACCAATTTCAGATGGAGCAAATACTTTCAAATTATCATCAAGGAAATCCACTTCTCCAAAAAAGCCACCCTTAATCGTATCCAAGGAAGAAGATGCCAGACACTCGGAAGAAACAAAAGAACTTCATGGTGCAGTATTATTAAAAACCAACTTCCTTTATTAGGTACTCATTGCACTTAACTCAGGAGGTGTCCCAGCCGACACCAGCGTTAACAGCATACAGCAATCACAGAAAACGAACCCAGCTACTCAGCACATGCGCAGTAGCTCGTAGGAAAACGTAATGACGTCACATCAATCAAGCTCCGCCCTACGCGTTTCGTCATCGACGTCCTCACAGGCGTGAGGACGGAGCTTGATTGATGTGACGTCATTACGTTTTCCTACGAGCTACTGCGCATGTGCTGAGTAGCTGGGTTCGTTTTCTGTGATTGCTGTATGCTGTTAACGCTGGTGTCGGCTGGGACACCTCCTGAGTTAAGTGCAATGAGTACCTAATAAAGGAAGTTGGTTTTTAATAATACTGCACCATGAAGTTCTTTTGT